ATATACATCTATATTACTGCTTGGTATGCAATATACAAAATCTATATTACTGCTTGGTATGCAATGTATAACATCTATATTACAGCTTGGTACTGCATAACATCTATATTATGCAATGCATAACATCTATATTACTGCTTGGTATGCAATGTATAACATCTATATTACTGCTTGGTGCAATATATAACATCTATATTACTGCTTGGTATGCAATGTACAACATCTATATTACTGCTTGGTATGCAATTATACAACATCTATATTACTGCTTGGTATACAATGTATAACATCTATATTACTGCTTGGTATGCAATGTTTAACATCTATATTACTGCTTGGTATGCAATGTGTAACATCTATATTACTACTTGGTATACAATATATACAACACATGCTAACATCTATATTACTGCTTGGTATGCAATGTATAACATCTATATTTGCTTGGTATGGTATAACAAATGTATAACATCTATATTACTACTTGGTATGCAATGTATAACATAACATATATACAACATCTGGTATTGCTTGGTATGTAATGCATAACATCTATATTACTGCTTGGTATGCAATGTATAACATCTATATTACTGCTTGGTATACAATATATACAACATCTATATTACTGCTTGGTATGTAATGCATAACATCTATATTACTGCTTGGTATGCAATGCATAACATCTATATTACTGCTTGGTATGCAATGCATAACATCTATATTACTGCTTAATATCGATGCACAACATCTATATTACTGCTTGGTATGTAATGCATAACATCTATATTACTGCTTGGTATGCAATGTATAACATCTATATTACTGCTTGGTATGCAATATACAACATCTATATTACTGCTTGGTATGCAATGTATAACATCTATATTATGCTTGGTATGTATAACATCTATATTACTGCTTGGTATGCAATGTATAACATCTATATTACTGCTTGGTATGCAATATACAACATCTATATTACTGCTTGGTATGCAATGTATAACATCTATATTACTGCTTGGTATGCAATATACAACATCTATATTACTGCTTGGTATGCAATATACATCTATATTACTGCTTGGTATACAATGTATAACATCGATATTACTGCTTGGTATTTAATGCATAACATCTATATTACTGCTTGGTATGCAATATACAACATCTATATTACTGCTTGGTGTGCGATGTACAACACCTTTATTACTGCTTGGTATGCAGGCTAGGTCTCTCCTACTACATCATGGAATACAGCTTATTTCCAATTCACGTCCCTGCATGTATGTACAGCATATACACTTAGACAGTATGCATTTCACAAGTGACTCCTAACCACAGTTACTAATTGCCTCATATATATGTATTGTCAACATCAAATCCAACCTATATGAAATTGGTGGCAGAATAGTAGCCACTACGATGTTGGTTGAAGTGTTTGCTTGTCAAAACCAAAGGCTCGGAACATGGGCACAATGTGTGAAGCCCTTTTTTGCATAGTCACTCACAGATGACTGGATAAAAAACCAACACCCATGTCTTGCAAGACACTGTTCTATTTATAGTCTGGTTGGGATTGAAAGGTATGTGTTTGACAACTCCTCAATACTGAAACTCAGCCTATAAAAGGTCTACGCTGGATCAGACAAACAAGCGCATGATATATTGAGCACTCAACCACACAATACTGACACGAAAAGATATGATCAACAAAGTCTCTGAACCAGGACAATATATATTTATTTCTCCAACCTGAACACGTACTTGTAATCCAAACAGGTCTACCATGATATCAGTCTGGACAAGTGAGGTTAAATAGTGCAAAGCATTTCAAAACAAGAGGTGGGCCCACAGTTACTACAGATGATTTATCCTTTGCACTTGAACATACAATGCTAAACTGTTCATTTATCAGAATGAGAGAGACTAGAAACAAGGGAAACATGGTGATGTGTCAGGGAACTCTTACATAAAACAATCTTTAGATTTGCGATCCCAGCCTGACATTAAACTCTAACAAATATCAAGCAATGTGTGTTATATTTGGGATTACACTTTCTCAGTAAAGTACAGATTCTAGTACTTTGAGAGTTGAGTCTCGTGTGATTTGAGGCACACTCTCAGAGTCAAACACCCCACACAAATACAGCAATCTAACATGCTCAGCCACTGTAGCATCCACAAAGGATGGAAGTCGGACAAATGGTAGTGTAGATCATGTACACTCTGAATAGGCATGGCCCTCATGGCATGAACCTATGGCTATTGAACCATAGCAGTTTCACAAGGCTGCACCCTAGACGCTAAAATCACAAAGGGCAAGTTGTGGGTCTCAGGACGACATCCATATAGTCAGGGTTTTACCATTGTTTACCTTGACTCAAAAACATGGGGGCCCCAGGGACGCCTAATTGTTATTTTTAAGGGTCCTTGCGGGCCCAAAGAGGGTCCTGTGAAGTAACAGTGTATAGAACTGTACCTTTCAATAATTTTTTGAGAACCTGGTATGAATCATTGCTCATGTGGACGGTGGGACACAGACAGACATATGAAATACTGCACATTCTCAGAAAGAAACAACCAAACACTTTACAAAGTTATAGGTGTGTTGTGGTTACAATGAATAATATTGTGCTCCCCGCGATGAATATTTTTTCTGCGCCAATGTCTACATTTGTGTGTGTACAGGGCGCATGGATGAAGTAAACCCTGCTTATAGTGTTCAAATAATAGGGAATAGTAGTAATAAAGGCTTCAGGCTAAAATGGAACCACAGCAAAACGGCACCTGGCGAAAACGGCACCATTTGGACATAACGGAACCTCGACTTGGCGAACACGGCTACAAATCTTATGGCGAAAACGGCACCAACTAGAATCTTATGGGGAAAACTAGTTTGTTATAAGATAATCGGATTGCAGATAGTAAATACATCTACTATTATGTCGGAACTATCAAAATTTAAGAACAAGGATGTATTTTTATATTCAAGGATACGATGTGAAAACTACTTTATACGGTAACGGCGCATTGAATAACTCAACTATTAGTGATATTCTGAACTCATTACAACAGTTCATTTCTAAAAGTAACCGCTTACAGTAATTATCAAATCTATGTATATATTCAATGTAAGGCAAGTTTTATATATTTGATTTTCTGCGGCTGCTCATTTCGTTGCTAGGCATATCCAACACTATACCGAACATATTTATTATTCAATCATTTATCTGTTATTTTGTCACAGTATTTTTCTTTTGTTGTCAAATTATTTCAATTATGTAACTAATTACCTTAGTTGTGCGTGCGACGTTAAATAAAGCAAATAACAACAACCCATTGTTTGTTAGTTTTTTGGTTTTATGGGGATTTTTTTTCTGTTTTGGGTATACATAACATAATAATTTTTCTGAATATACATAACATATATTATGCAAGCTTAATGATGTTTCATTTTTCATATTTTACCATTTTTATTAGACATTTCCTGAAATTGTGTCACTGCCGTTACGAAATTTGTAACATCATTTTGAAAAGAAAAAATCCAAAGATAATATTTATTTCATGTACATATATATTAAAATATCTAGTTTTACAATATAACATGGAGTTTTGAAATTGTATATTTATTGCTTATGAAAAAGACAAAAAAATTCAAATGCCACATCTGTGACATCAGCCACTGGAGTTGTGACACATGAACATTGAGTAAAATTGGGTGGTGTAAAGTAAATATAAAAATATATTTTCCCTAATTTTTTTACTGTAAAGTGTAGAAAAATATTGTGATAAGTTAGTTACCATAATTTTTTTGGTTTGATTTTGACTTAAGTTTGTCGGATACAAACATCTGACATAAATATGCACAGATTTTGAGAATGACTCATATGTTGATATAATCTTGTTAATGTTATAATGAAATGAAATAAAACATGAGTCAATGTCATACTTTGTTTTATATATGGTGCCGTTTTAGCCCAGAAATCAGTAGCCGTTTTCGCCAATATGGTGCCGTTTTTGCGCACACAAATTTGGTGCCGTTCTGCTGTGGTGCCGTTTTAGCTATAACCCGTAATAAAGGCTTGCACTTCTTCTTACAGCATGTCTTTGAATACAGGAATTCAAATTTTCAAAATTCAGTATTGTGGGGAGAGGAGAAATTTAGGAATTATGTGGGGTTTTTACACTGAACTTTTGAACTGATCCCTATTTTATGTGTAATTGAGGGTTTCCACTATCTTTCGACTAATCAGGTTGATGTTCATTTCAAGTAAGGATCAAAGATGCTTCAAGGTTTGCACCACATTGAGATCTGTGTTTGAACCACATGAATGTATACCAATACATCATGAACAAATACTCTACCTTTGATATTCTTTCCTCATGTCCCTAAACACTTCTCGGATCAAATGAGTCGAAAGTGTAAGGAAGTCTAATGCATCACTGATCATTATTCTTTTTAACAGATCCAACAATCAAAAGTAAGAAAATCATTTGTTTCATGCCATCAGTAAACAATGAAATATCGACAGTAATAATACAAGAGGAAAATAAAAACAAAACCTAAATAATCAATGTAGTAATATGTCTGTAACAGGAGTATTCGAATACGATGATTTTACTTGCTCAGTTATAACTCACATACATTAAATTGCCATGTGTATTTGTTTCCGATATTTCACTGACTAAATACTCAGATTTTCTCTCCTTCGACGTAAACATAGCAACAAATAGCAGAGATTCACACTGTTTACTCGCCTTTATTGGATTTAAATCTATTAATAGATAGTTTAAGTCCAACACTATTGACATTATCACATGAAAATTTTAAACACCTGGCTTGCAGCTAATCGTTTGAAATTGATACCTGAACATAGGTCATGAAATTAGGACAAACATGAACTGGTTCGTACAGTTCATATTCATAAACCCATCTCGTGACTTGAGGCTGAACGTAGAAACAGCCTCGGCTGCAAGCGACTCAAACGTTGGCTCACCTTTCGAACAGCGCTCGCAAAACAAGCAACAAAACTGTGAGGGGCACGGTGACAAGCATATCGGACACTTGTGGTACATAAATTCCATCATCACGGTTCTCCAAATCCTTCCAGCTATGCTGAGGAGGCAGCCAAAACCATTCACTCCAAAAAGTGTCCCGAATCCACTCCCACATGGCAGCCATTACTATTGTTTTTCTAATATCACGCGAGATGCAAGACTGTTGTCCGTACAACAGGCGATATATATATATGTGTGATACGTTTGGGACGTCCCAGCCAGGCTGTAATACGATGGGCGGAGTTATCGTCCTTGATTGTAACAGCCTGGCTGTCAATTAAGACTGATAATATTGATAAGAATGATAATATTGTTATCATACACTATTGTTGAAATCTGCGAAACATCTACAATAAATATGTGTCGATTCGCTGTGTAAACTTCTGCCACTGTGACTGAAATTTCATTCTGTTATGGATATTTCAAATTTACATTGTTCAATTATTGTGCCAGTTAAAAAAATACATAATATACAACATTGTAAGACAAGCTCGTTGGAAAATGTAGTTCTTGTTAAATATATTGATATTGCGTTTGTAATAAACTGGTCCACCAAAGATGTCTTTAAGCAACTGCATGAAGCGACATTTGCGTGCCTGACATAAACACTTCTCAAACTGTGATCGGATCCATACTGTGTTCGTTGCACAACGATATTTTCTCAATGATGAACTCAAGTCCCGATATCTCGTACTGCTGAGACCGGACCGTCGCTTCAGTAACGCGGCAAACTAAGCAAATATCTCGAAGGCATGTAATTATTTGAATCTGGACTAGACAAACCAGTGGTTGACAGTGTGAGCATCGACCCACATCGCGATATATCACACAGTTTACAACACGATCGAGTTAGACAAAGATCGAACTGATAGAGGCAGGGATCCAAAGAGAACACGATTTTCCACCTTTGGGTGTGTGAGAGAGAGAGAGAGAGAAAGAGAGAGAGAGGAGAGAGAGAGAGAGTTGGGTTAGAGAGAGAGGGAAAGTGTGTGAGAGAGTGTGTGAGAGAGAGAGAGAGAGAGAGAGAGAGAGAGAGAGAGAGAGAGAGGGATCAATATTAGGGGGGTAATTAATTTTGTACATATAAATGTTATAAAGTTGTTGACATAATATGGGAATGGGGCAGGGGTCATTGATTTTGTACATGGCATGCATGGGGGTCACTTACATTGTACATAATCCTCCGGGTGTCACATTGTACATGCTTCTCCATAAAAATCATCAGCATCATCATCATCTCTCTCTCTCTCTCTCTCTCTCACACACACACACACACACACACACACACACACACACACACACACACACACACACACACACACACACACACACACACCACCTAGCCGTAAATTTTGAACGGTCCCTTTTAAATATCAAATTAATTCAGTTGAGAACTTGCTTTAAACAAAAACAAGAAATAAATGAATATGGTTTAATGAACAGGTTCCGGCTCTTTGCCGTATTATATTCATAGTCAGTTATTCTACCACATATATAAACAGGGGGCTCAGATGATCAGGTGTTGTAATGTATTTACAGGATAATAGCTTGATCCTTCAAATGATCGTCAGCTGGCAGTATTGTATACATACATACACTTATCATGACAACTCATTGACTATCAAATGATGATTGGGAATGCCTTCATTGCATTGTGTACATGGGAGCCTGAAGTTTATTACGTGGTTCATCTTACTTGCCCCATATTGATGTATATACATACTGCTCAGATATGTGGCACGAATACCATAACATGTGCGTTTACAATCATCACTCTTAACCATACTCGATTTGAGTGAGTGAGTGAGTTTAGGTTAAAGCGGCAATATTCCAGCAATATCACGGCGGGGTATACCAGAGATAGGCTTCATATATTGTACCAAAGTGGGGAATCGAACCCGGGTCTTCGGCGTGACAAACGAACGCTTTAACCACTAAGCTACCGCCCCCTGGATATGAAATACGGAGTGAAAGTCTACATACAAGAATGAACATTCTCTCAATGCTGGATATATCAATTCCGTGTGTGTATAAAACAATTTAATTGTAGTTTCCATGCAGGGTGGCTTCTCTAAGCCGTGTGTGACATAAACCTGACAAATCATGCTATTATGTATACTAAATTATTATATTATATGACCAGAATCATGTGTAGATTACCCGACAATATTCAACTCACCTGGAAGCAATATACATAAGGAATATTTACGACTGCTTCTCTTTGTTTTTTTTGTCATCCGTTCACCGTTGATTCAATGTGCGCTACAGACATCGTTACACATTTATTTTAAACATAGTTTCATTTCGACTGAAAATTTGAATAGGTAAATAAAACAACGGTCTTTTTAATACCCCTCCCCGATACAAGTATCAAATAAGTGTATACATGATAAAATACAGAAGATGTACCTTCGTGACGAGTTATGAAGCATAACAAACCGTGTCCGGAGTTGTAAGTGGGGACAGTGTACCATACAGAGCGTATACCTGTATGTGAGTGAGTGAGTTTAGTTTTACACCGCACTCAGCAACATGCCAGGAAGCGGTCTCTAAATAATCGAGTCTGTAAATAATCGAGTCTGGACCAGACAATCCAGTGATCAACAGCATAGCATCGTTCTACGCAATTGGGATACAATGACACATGTCAACCAAGTCAGCGAGCCTGACCACCCGACCACGTTAGTCGCTTCTTACGACAAGCATGGGTTACTGAAGACCAATTCTAACCCGGATCTTCACGGGATCTTCACGGGAATGTACCTGTATGTGACAGGTGCCTGTTCCGAGTATTAACCACGTGTACATCTTCCAGGTGTATATATGGAGAGATAAAGAGCCTATAGTTGCAATGAACAAAGGAATAGTGTAGCGGGTTGTCATAGTACACAATACTAAACAAACAAACACAAACCTCAAATGGACGAAATAAACTGAGAAAGAACAAGTTTATCTACAGTAAATATTCCATATTGTCGCCAACGCCCTGTGATCGTTTTGCAGTTTAGTATTTTAGGTGGTCAATTTGTGTTATAATAATAATACAGATCATTTGTAATGCGCTTGACTCCACAACACTTGGCCATGCTCTAAGCACAAACACAAGACAGTCAATAGCGAAGACAAAGAAATGTTTTTAGATGAGATTTAAAACTTGACAGAGTTGGAGCAGATTTAATGTCTGTAGGGAGAGAGTTCCACAAGAAAGCAGCTGAATGTTTGAAGGATCTATGTCCGAAAGTTTTGAGTTTATATGGAGGCACAACAAGAAGTGATTGGTCGGCAGATCTGAGATTCCTCGGTGGGACGTAGGGTGAGACAAGGGCTTGGAGATAGAGTGGAGCAGTTTCATTTAGTGCTTGATAAGTTAAAGTTAGAATCTTAAACTCTATTCTTTCTCTGATTCTCGACCAGGGGAGGGACTTCAATGCAGGCTGGATATGACTTCATAGTTTTGTGCACGTGATAATCCTGGCGGCGGTGTTCTGCAGCTTCTGCAGTCTGTGAAGTTGGTCATTGGTAATACCAATCAAGAGACTATTGCAGTAGTCTAACCGCGACAATACTAGGGATCTCATCAGTGTGGCTGTGGTGTTTCTGGTGAGGAGGTGACGGATAGAACCAATGTTCCTGAGGTGTTGGTGGCAGATCTTCGATAGGTGGTTAATATGCTGTTCCATGGATAGATTCTCGTCTAAAAACACACCTAGGTTTTTAACACAATGAGAAACAGGAATTTCTACATCATCGATCTGGAGATGATCGATACCACATTTCTGCAATCTGGATTTAGAAGCAGTAATCATGAGTTCAGTGTTGCATGCAAACTAGTTTGACGGAATGTATGGAACATTATTCACTTATGTTGTATACCCAGGTATACCAGGTATACAACACACTTATTCAAGTAAATTGAGAGCCGATCAGTTCACATCGTGGTTGATGCTCAGCCAGAGTCCGATTTTGATATGCACGCGAGCCCGCACACAATGTTTGTGCGTAGCACAACTATATAACAAATGAGAATGCGCCTAGTTGCTAGCGTATTCATATGTTGATTAGTGCACAGAACGGGTAATGTGGTTTCCCCACTGTTCACAAGCACCATATAAGCTATACTTGACAAACAGAAAGTACCGATTGTTTGATTGTAATTGATAACCTTGGTTTTAATCATGTTTGCATACACACAAACAGCTGTAGACTGCCATTCACGTGGATGTACAACGACCCTTTATTGGGTTGAACCTTTATGTTGATACAATACTCCGATCTGTTTCATACTGACGAAGACTTTTTAGGTATCGGTTTCACAGTGCTTACAGTTGTTCAGCAGCCATTGACAGTCGATTTCAAACTGAGAACTAAACCCATGTCTCTGTCTCTGAATGTAGCTGATAGGTAGCCGTCATGAGATGATTGATAGGTCGGTAATCGATTAACTCTACAATACACCAGGGGGAAACATATTCAACAAATCTAACCATCTTCTTTGATGGGCGTTTTAGAAGTGAGGTGATGAAGAATGGTGATAATTTTATGATCATCACTTGCTTGACAACGACATTAGAATCTTTGTGGAAACGTCGCCTTTCACAGAATATAGAAGTTGTGTATCCATACAATTACCATTCTTCTAAATCTAACATAAATGACTTCGGTCCACTTGTGGTTTTGCTTCTTCCATGCACCCAACACCCAACGTTTACATGAATTCAGAGAGATTTTGAATCCGTGGCCGTGAGGCATACTCTGCAAATATTTTTTGTAATGTTTATACCAAAATGGCAGTTGTTAAACCAGTTAATGCTACTGTAAATTTGAAACGGTTCTAAAACAGTCTTATAAAAGTGGTTTTTGCACTCTCCACATTGAACGTGTGTCCAACAGATAGTTCCTATGCAAGCATCGTTAAACAAAGAGAGCACCTGCCATCCTTGATTGCCAGCATTCACCACGCATTCCACCTTTGTAATTACCGGTTGTTGTTGCTAGGATGTATATATGATAATTAACAACCTGGATAATATGAAAAGTTGAACTATGTTACGAAATAGTTCACTCACCCGAATGTAGCTTTGTAATTTTGGTAGTTCATTCAAATTGGGAGTGATTGTAGTAGTGATTTGTAGCAGTGATTGTAGTAGTGATTGTATGTGATGTGTGATAGAGAGATCGGGGGTTGGGGGGGTTGGGT